ATACGGATACATTTTATAGGAAGTTCGTAAAGTGTTGACGACGTTTTTGTCGGTTTTTATAGCGGCCGCGGCCTTTGCACCGCCCTACGAAGGGCAGCATCGCTTTGGATCTCTTCGAACAACAGCGCTGACGTCAACAGCCACTCGCTTTTCAATAAGAGCGATCGTGCTCGACGTCGTCTGCCTCCAGGAAGTGCAAAACTGCCAAGAAGCAGCTGAAAAGCCGCGCTTTTTTTTTTTTTGCTTAGTATAGACGCTCCGAGAACTCTGACTCGAGTTACTCCGTTCGGAGCAGTGGGAGCCGCTACTAAAAACAAGCATAACATAAAAAAAAGAAAACTTTTAAGACGTTTATTTTTAAGAATGGAGCGCGATAGCGGAACATATAAACTCCCGCCCGTTCCCAAGATGTGCGAGCGCAGTGGCGTGTCTGGCTCGCAACCGAAGGGTCGTGGGCTCAAATCCCGCCTAAAATTCATCAATTTTTTTTTTCTTTAAGGCAAATGAATTACTTTCTAGAGTGAAATCATTTGAGACACGCAGCGACATTTACCTCGCATTACATGTCGTGTTTTTTTTTTTAATTCACTCTCATTCCACGCGTAACATCACGTTTCACGTGATCGTTGTGGGTTGTTTGAAATTCCCGCGCGGGGTGATGTAGCTGTGACGTCATGAGCATATCGACCAATCAGGATTTTCGCGGCATGCCACTGACGCCGGCTTTTCTACCACGCCACCGATTTTCCGCGACAAGAGCTCGTTAACGCTGTCGCGTTTGGAAAAGGGACCTCCACACGCTTTGAGAACGCTGCAAAAAGACGGGCAAAGCGCAAGGGCGCGCACGCGCTCATCTTAGTCGTACAATGCGATGTTTGTTGAACGGACTTTTTCTTTTTTATTTATTTATCTAGTCGGTAGTGCGTGATAATTTCACGGAGCAAACTACCCACTCCTTTGGGAAACAAGGAGCCAATTCTTGAGGCCTCACTTCCCGACTGTCTTATTAAGCGGTAAGACGCAATCACGCCTTATCACCGCTGAAATCTGTTCCGCAATATTCTAGTTTATAAAACTATGGATTCCAATATAAGCTGCCACGAAGCGCAAAAAAAAAAAAAGTTTTTGATTAAAAAAAAAAAAAAAAAGTCAGGTGCTCATTAAGCAGTTCACGTAACGAATCCCTTGGCGCCAACTTACATTCATTACCACCACAAAAGAAAAAAAAGAAAAGAGTTTTTTTATTGGTACAACGCTATAAGTGAATGCCATTTCCGAACCCAGCTGGTATGCGGCCTCGAGTCGTCGACAAAAGGAAGCGCGGCTGTGCTTTTCCACCGCCTCCGCTTTGCCATTCACAACCGTGGAAACTGCCAGTGACACGATGCCCCCCGTATTTGGGTCAGACTACATACTTGCACCCCGTTAGGTAAACCATCCCGTCGGTTGTGGGGGATGACACCGATCCACCCGGAAAGCGGCGCGCCAAGCGTCAAATGTCGTTCCCGGGTGTATTTCCCGACCGATCCACGTTCAAGAGGCATTCGGTGACTCGCAAACTGCGTACTTAACAACCGAAAAAAAAAAAAAAAAAAAAACATTAATAAATATTTGTGGACAACGATGCAGTGCATGACTTCTGTAGCGGCCCCCTCTGTAACTAACTGATTCTCAAACAAGCAACGTAGGAGAAAACAACTAAATTTTATCTGCCAAGGATGTTCCATACACTATCAGTAAATTGTTAAAAGTTGCGTGGCACGTGAACACGCCACTCAACCTATAACAATTTACTGATAGTATACAGAACACACACGTGTACCACTGTGAGTGCAGAACTTGTGACAATAATATCAAGTAACGCGTCGGAAGAAAACCAACCGTTCACCTCAGTTAACTCTGAGGTGAACGGTTGGCTATGGAAAGGGGGCGATGCTGCCCCGATATGCAGTTGTCTGCGCGGTATCAGAACGCGTATGCAGCGTGCCAGACCTGACGAACGGCTGACGAACGATAACAAGTCGAAATGTAACTGAACCGTTAACGAAGGTCCGTAACTGAATTGATTATGCATTTACGTACGCCGCCGCCGTTCAGAAACAATTCAATCAATGTAGTCGCGGGAAGTAATAAACTGCCACACGACCGGGATGACCTATAGAAAGAGAGAGAGAGAGAGACACCTTACCAATAGGTAGAGAAAACGAAACGGTTATTACGACTGGCCAAATACCTCCGGACGGCCAAACTCTAACCTCTCCTTTCGCCACTTCTCTTGACCGTCTTCACTGACACGAAAATTTGCCGGAGACGCGAAAGCGATGTTGCGTAGTCCGAACGTTCTCACTCGTAACGACAAAAAAAAAAAAAAAAGGAGACGAGAGGAAAGGGGGAAGGGGGGGGGGGGGGGGGGGTTGCAGGGCCTGGCAGGGCACACAAGATATGCGCCGGTCACGCACGATCGCACTGTATTGTCAACTTCCTCATGCGCACACAGAAAGTGTCTCTGGGCATACCTGGGGCTTTCTCCAAGACAACAAATAAAAAAAAGTCCGTCCCGTGGACTGCTTCGCGATACAACAGATGCCGGAGATCAAATGTCACTCTTGCAGATAAATAGGGAACTGTACAAAACGTTTCTCATCAAGTAACATAATTTAAAAAAACAAGTTCTTTTTTATTATTATTCTTATTAAACATGCGCGCGCGCGTGTGTGCGCGTCCTCAGTTGAGCTACTGTATAAAACATTTGTCACTGCACCCCTGTCGATTGGATTCGCCGATTTACTGGCAAAATACGGCACACAATTACTGTCTCCATTACGATTCGGTAACTCGAGCAACGGGCACAAGCTTGCCATAAATTTAACAATTATTCAACAAGATTTTTTTTTTTTTTTTTAGTAAAGCATTATTGAACTTATTTGCTTCCCCAGCAAACAGCCAACACTGCGATAGCCAGCGCGGTCGCTCGCGAATATTTTCTGCTCCATGGTATCAACATGGTCTCGGAAGCGCACACCCGCGGCCGATATGAACGGAAACACCCGGTCTGAACGTTTCCTGCGACTGCGGTGTGTTTTATTCTTTCTGTGTATTCCAAGCTCTATTATCTCTCAATCTGTTAAATAGACCCAAGTAAATTCGCATTCCACAGTTCGGACAACAGTTCTGTAAAAAAAAAAAAAAAAAAAAAAAACTGGCAGGCGCGTTAAAGTGGCAGAAGAACTGTTTCAGCTCATTTTCTTCGCGAAAATACATCGGCAGAAACGAACCTACTAAGGTATATTCTAAAAAAAAAAAAAAGATACCATTATAATTTATAACTACTCTACTCAAGAACGTAGCGAACTACAATTAAAATTACTAGCACAGAAATGTAATTGCAATTATGCTGTCATTTCAATTTGAAAACTACCCGATGTGATAGCATCATTCCTCACTGAAATGTGGTTAACATTTCTTGTCTCAAGCATTAATCGCATTTTGTAATATTTTTTTTTTATTTCACTGTATAATAGGGAGTTGAGCTGTGAACTAGGCTGCAGCGGAGCAAAATAACAAAACAATTAATTGCAATTGTTATTAAAGTTACGCCACCACTGGGGCTGGAAGAAATTGAAGTACAACTACAATTACATGTAATCGAAGAAATTGATTACAAACTAAATAATAAAGTAATTAAATTGCAATATTTCAATTATTGACATTGAATTGCTTGCTACACAAGCATGCCACGAAAGGATTGCGGGGAAAAAGAAGTAAAAACTATCACACCCCTAAAAAAAAAGTAATGAATGAATGGGTCAATTTCAAGGTCACAGGCATGCTCTTCGTTTGTGCTGCGCGGCTTTCTTTTTCTCATTGGACACGCGTGAAGGTGACTACCAGAGAAGTCGCAGTAACAAACCGAAACTCAAAAAGCAAAAAAAAAATGGCGAGAGAGACACATGTCATACGTCCGATGCTCGTAACAAAACTATCAGAGCCACTTCAGATTACGCTAAGATACGCGATAGAGCTGCGCGTAAAACCTCAAACGTGCAAATTACAATACTTTCTTTTTTTTTTTTGTCTAGAGATTGTCGGGATAATGCATAATTGAAGTGCGGAAAAAAAATGACGGCACAAAAGACGGAAGAATAAGCACTTCTGCATATGTATGACTTGCTCCCACCGCAACAATGTAATGCGAGTAGTTAAAACGGCTGTGCGATAAACAAAAACAACGCAGTCGGGAGCTTCGGCCGGCACTTGCCAGCAGCGCAATCGGCAACAGCTGCATCGGCTGCATTTTGAAACAGCACGCCGCGACTCAAGCGCGGTGACAACACTCCGACGGAATCCGGTAGTTTTCCGTGTTTCCGCAATCGCCACTGATCGTAAGCATCACCGCGATACCACGATAAACAAAACCCGCAGCACCAAGCACCAGCATCTCAAAGGCTCGAAACAGTCTCGCGGAGGAAGGAATTCGTTCGCCCAAAAGAAGCGTCCGAGTGCGGATACGTAAGCTCTCATCCCTCACGCGTTCCCCGAGAAAGATATTACGGCACAGACTTTCCGTCAGCCAGAAACGGAAAGACATATTTGTTTCCTCCAGGCGATCGCGGCGAAACGCACATTGCTCGAGAATCCATCTTTGCGAGTCCCCGCGATATGCTTCGAGGAGGAGGAACAGGTCCGAGCGCGGAAGATCCGAGCAGTTCCGTTTTTCCAGGATCCGGCGTGCGCTGTCCACATCGCGGTGACAACGTCTCGCACCGAATGACAACACGTTTGATCGAAGCGACCGACGTATCCAATGTTACTACGGAAGAGGAGCCGAAGATGCAGGTATGGCGCATCGCACCACTGTTAAGCACAACACACCGCTCCGTTGATATTGAACGGGCTCGAGGCGCTGTAAACATTGAGCGATCTGAATCCTGGGCTCACAAGACACGCTCGTCTCGGTCTCGCTGCTGCCTGAAAGTGAGTTTAACTAGACAGGTACTCACTTTTGATCTGGCTTGGAGGCGCTCCGCCGGCAGACTCCGTCGGAATCACCTATGAAAGTGGCGTGCGCCAAGAAACCCGGTTTCTGTGTTAGCGGCACGGAGAGGGCGGAGAATGGCGGAGAAGGCAAACATGCCTCTGTGACGTGCTGTTTCGTCACGTTGTACGTCACAGGTCAGCGAAGTGTTGCCATGGAGATAGCAAGACAGTTCACTTTGATCGGGCCGCGTTGAACACATTTGTTTCAATTGTTACTTGCCAATTTATATTCTTAATAGTAAATATTAATGTTTCCATAATTTAAAAATTACTTGGTTTGTTTTATTTTTAGTAATATTGGGAATATTTCTTTGGAATGAGAACAATTCAGGATTGCGTCGAGCAACATTGGAGCACGTTCGCTTTCGTTGGTGGGTCTCTGTGGCACTGCAATCTTTCTGAGTTGGGAGCCCAAAATCGCTTTTAATTGAGTATATTTTTGTATGACGATAGTCCAGAGATGAGCTATCAACTGTACCGCAATACGACGCTTGGAAACACGCTTCAAGAGAGTCTTGACGAGCTAATACAGGTATGTTGCGTCTGGCCAGACAACCAACAGTTGCCGCACTTTCTACTCTAGTAGAGGTAAAGAATGCACCCGGCGAGTTATATAACGGCAAATTGTTGTAAATTACGTTTTAAACCACGCCTTAGTGTGCAGTGTCGGCAAATTTGACTCTACCCACCTTTATCATCGGCGAGGGCCGTAAGGACGAATGAGCCAGTCGAAATATCTATTCTATAAGAGACGTATATATAAATCGGAGCCGATATAAACTGGAACCCGAGACTGAGTTCAGGTTGTCTGTTTCTCAGTCCTTTTACACACGTTGCCTTTTTCCAGTGTGGTCAGATCACGCCGCACCTGGCCCTGAAGGTACTGTTGCAGTTCGATAAGGCCATCAACAATGCCCTGGCTAACAGGGTGAAGACGAGGCTTACTTTCAAGGTAAGACTGCACAATGAACTTCCCAAGCAGGACCTTGTGTTGCACTTTAAGCTACGAAACCGGAACTTTTTTCTAATTCTTGTATGGCAATAATTATGCTTTATTCCCTCATTTAACCTTGGGTGTTATTGGACTCAGTAATTGTTTCCACAGTGTTATCGAAACTAAAGCAAGTGTGCAGGCGAGCTGGTTCAATGTTAACATGGTGATTCAGGGGAGCTATGTTCGACAAATGCTTTGTTTCTGCTAAAAAGAAACGAAGTGACGATATTGCGTTTGATTTGCTAGAGGCTCAAATGACGAAAGTTCCTTCTTTCGTCATTTGAGCCTCTAGTAAATCCGACGTAATATCGTCACTTCCGTTTCTTTTTTGGAGAAACATTTGTCGAACATAGCCCCCCTTGGGCGGGGGAGGGAAGGGGACTTTTTTTTCCAACCCTCTCCTAGGTCACCATGTCCATGGGATGTTGCAGTCAGCCCTCTTATTGTCTGATGGCTATCAGATAACAACAGGGTGCGTTTGAATGGAGAGCATAGAGGTCACTTTTATTTATTTATAGATGCTGCTGATCCAACCAGGGGATCATACTGGAAGCAAAGTAGAAAATGTACCGGAGCACAAGAATAAATGCACAGCAATGTCAAGTTGAGAACTACAGTGGTCCACAATGAAGGGGTTCTAAGCTTGTCAGCATTAGAAGTCACTGGAGTGGCAAGCTGCCACATTCACTTTGAAAGTACACACCTACTTCCGAACTCACTTCTGAATCACGTAACAAGGTGCCTTCACATCTTTGGTAGCTGCCAGCAGGTAGCACCGGCCATCAGATAGTCTTCATTAGTATTTCGTTTCATGCAAAGTATAGGCCGACACGCTGTTTACAAACAAGCCCGCGTTTGCCCACACAAGGTGTGGGCACTGCGCGTGCGCAGAAACCAAATTCGCGCGAAGTGAAGCGTCTGCGCATGCGCAGTGCCGTTGACAGCGCCACCGCAGCTGCGTGACGTCAGGGCCGCGTGTTGGTCTATATTGTGAAAGGTCTGGCGGTGTTTGCTTTAGCTGCCGTTTAATTCATATGCAAAGAAGACTGTAAGCAAACCTGCAGCAGTGTCGTTCCGTGATTGACTTACTATTGTGTCTCCAGTAGGCTCACACAGCACTGTGTTCTTGTTCACATTTGAGAGCTGTATCTTGCCACTCAGTGCGAGCCCCATGAGGCTTCCTCTTCATTGAACACCAATGAACCAGTGCTCATTTCGGGGATTCCCATCTCCAGGGGCTTTTTCTTGTGACATCATGGTCATTGGCCAACGAGGGCTGCTTACAGTGACCCACCCTCTCCGCTAATAGTTACTGTGATCTTAGACACTTTTTGCCACCTCATTATACTCTAACGCACAAACATGTACCTTTCTGCAGTGCCGACAAAAGGCATAAGCTCAGTATTTAAAAACAGCCTTCTATTGGAAGCATGCGATGAGACAATGGTGCCACGGTGCAGCCCTTGGCAGAAATATTTCTTGCAGGCCATGGCCAGGCTGGCACAGACATCTTATATAGCAGCCAACCTTAGTTTTTAATCAGTGTCAGCTTACCCAAGCACAGCGTTATACCAAACGTTCAGGGTCACAGTCGGTGCTATCGTTTTTTACGCAAGACCTGGAAATAGAGAAACCATACCTCCATGCGCCGGCGAAAACCGTCGCAATCGTCTCAGTCGTCTCAATCACAGAATGTACTCGATTGGCCAGCGAGTGAAGAGCAATCTGGTATTGAGTATATTTCTTGCATAGATATTATCAATTGTTGCCACCGATGAATGTCGTCCCATAGTGATTTCTAAACCGTCGAACGCACGACAACTTCATGGAGGCACATTCCAACACAGATAAATGAAAAACATGGCGGGGTGTTGCCGTCAACATGAAGATGACGAATGATGTGACAACACATGCAAAGCAATGCTGGACACGGATAGGTTTTTGAATCTCAAGGTGTCAAACCTTTACTCCGGAGCGAGATAGAGACACGCGGCTGCGGGAAGGAACAGACAGGCAAGACGCTGCGGGTACATTACGAGAGGTCAGAGCAGGCGATGCTTCACTATGCGGCACAGCTTGGACGCTGTTGCTGGTGGCACTGCAGTCAGCTGCCAAGGCAGATTGCACGCCCCATTTAGGTGTTCCATGCTCGTGCTCATAGAAAACAAAGCATTCTGCTGAGTTAGGCTCATGTGCTTGTGCCCTTGTCTGCATTGTAGATATTTTAAAGAGGGAGTAGACATTTTTCTAAGGAAGGCTTGATCCCAGAAAGAGGAGAGTGTTTTCCAAGCACACTCGTCGGGTTTGAGGCTGGTCTCTTTCCGGTGTCCCTGCTAACCCTAATTGAGCTGGCTGCGATTTTGCTAGCTGCAGCCTGCGTAGGTGTGATTTCTCACACTGCTGGCAGTGAACAGACTACTTCTATGAATCCCTGCATGCAACACTGTTCTCCTTGCACTGTGGGAACTAGTTGGCGAGGGAGCAGAGTGGCATGGTTTCGGTTTCAATCAACACGTCGACGAGAGATAATGCACAGAATGTGGACTATTAACAGCCATTATCTCATGTTTCCTGTATACCGAGCACATCGTTTTTGGTTTCTAAATTAACCTAAATGGCCAGACCTCGAAGCTTTCGCACAAGCCCAAACCATACGTAATGTTTGTCTCGACACATGCTTGTTGTATTTTTGTACTCTAGCCTTTTCCTTAGCTTTTCGAGGTATGTGGGCGAGACAGTGCTGGAAAGTTCGATGTTGCGAAGCTCGGGAATCTTGCTTTTTTACGAGTCAGCACGCTGTAACCATGAATAAGCACGGCGTCTAGTGACCGGGAAAACCGGGAATTGTCAGAGAAATTTTAATTACAAGGGAAAATCAGGGAATTGACAGTGGTTTTATTTATTATTTTTATTTTTATTTATTCGTTACCTACATTTCGCCCTGGGAGCATTATTGTAGGGGAGTAACTTACATGTCAACACAGCAAATACACAAATGGAAACGCAAAAATTATCAATACATGGTGACATCTGCTAAAGTAATACAATGCGCAATCACACAAAAAAAAACAACAAAAAAAACATTTGAATACAACATACACATATCTACTATAAGCTGCTAACATCAGCACAATGCAAAACAATACATTAGTCATGGATCATTCTCATGTAAGTAACGACTTAAAAGACAATCAAATGTTTCATCCAAAGCCGAAGCCACAGCTCCGGGGTGTCTATTCTACTGATTTATAGTTAGTGGGAAAAATGACGATTGAAAACAGATGTGCGGCATGATATTTCCCGCATTTTCTTTGAGTGGTCTTATCTCTGGGAAATAAAAGTAAGGGGTTTAGGTAGATGTACCTATCAATGCCGGAACGTTCACGAACCATTTTGTCTAGAAAAGAGTACCTTGATAACCCCCGGCGAAGTTGGAGCGAGTCCCATGACCATGCTTTTTTTAATGCCGTGACATTGGTATGAATTATATTGTCAAAAAGCGAGCCCAGTCAGGAAAAATGAGCTGGAAACGCTATCGAGTGCCCTGAGCAAAGACTTGAGGACTTGGGGGCAGGAAAATGGCAATAAATTCTGCTTAGAGCGGAGCGTGGGCTCTGCTCGCCTGATGTAGAGTGTGCTACACAGTGCAAGGGGAATAGCCGACAAATCCAGTCCAAACCCTTGATTGGATTGGATTGAATTGAGGACACGACATTGACGTGTCTGGTTGAGCGCCATGTTTTCATCGTGTTTCCTTTCCGGAAGTGGCCCCTTTACTGACGATGTTGGCAGCAAGAAAGTGCTCGTTTAATCCGGACTGGACGAACACGAATATTTCGGAATATGCAAGTTTGACTAAGCCCGTTCAAAATAATCCTCACAGTGCTCAATGCTCAACGCCTTGTGTTATAATGGTGTTGTATATTTAACTGCCTCTACGGTGGTCAGGGGATTTCACCTGAAATTGTCAGGGAAAACCTAGAAAAGTCGGGGAATTTCAAAATAATAATTTGCTAGACACCCTGAATAAGTATTTATACATTGAGCTTACACCTTTATATTCGTGTTGCTGGTCGGGAATGTTGTTACTTGTTTTGTGCGTCCATTGATAAAATATATTTTTTCATTTTTTTTTACAATTACTATTTTTGTTAATACGCTCGAGTATGCGAGGTAAAACTTTGAGACGCCATTGAAAAGCTAAAATCAAACACACTTGTTATCTGTTATTTGTACTTCTCCGCAGCACTGCACAAAGTTAAGTCTTCACCCGCTTGCATTCTATTAATTCAATATCGCGTATGCGCATGAAACTATCCTGTAGTCATATAGGCAGATTCGCACATACAAACCGCTTTTAAGGAAGCTACAGTCAAGCACTTGCGTGAAGTATGTCACACCGTTCGGTGGACGGCACATTTATGGGCGTGAACCCCTATGCAGTGCGCCAAACAAACTAAAGGATTCAAAGTGCATTTAACGGTTGCTAATGATCATAAGATTTCTTATGTGTTTGCTCTCTTCCTGACCGAGTATGCCGATATAACTTCAGATGCACCGTTCAGACACAGACCTTGAGCGTTGGTAAAAGCCCGTCCAAAAAGGCTTACCGAGGAGTAGGGGACACTAGTTAGGGCCTCCGTCGTACCTAGCCGATCTCGGCGTTTGCGAAAGCTTAATCTCCAGTAAGCATAAAATTTGAGTGGGAGATATATGATGCCACGAGGAAGACTTCATAGTAACTTTTGTGCTGCAGTGAGGTTGAATTTATTGTGTTTCCTTAAAAGTTCATGCGCCAGCGTTGGGTTCAACCTTGAGACTCCTGTGAAGATGCGGCTTGTTTTTTGCTCAATGAAGTAACAAGTAGACGTTTAGTAAGCAAAATATGTGTAGGGCTCTAAGTGAACGAATTTCAGTTGTGGTTCACCGGTACTAGACAGGATTATTGAAATTGATCT